CTCCCAAGGAGCGGGGAGCCCGATGAGGGACTCGATCCCAGGACCCTGGGATCATGACCTGAGCCGAAGGCACACGCTTAACCATCTGAGCCACCCAGGTGCCCCGGGAAGTTATTTTTTAATGGGTACAGAGTTTCAGATTTACAAGATGAAAAGCTATGGGTATGGATGGTGGGGATGGTGCACAACAGTGTGAATGTACTTAATACCACTGAACTGTTTCCTTAAAAACGGTTAAGATAGGGGCACATGAGTGGCTCAGTCAGTTAAGCGCCTGACTCTTGATTTCGGCTCAGGTCAGAATCTCAGGGTCATGTGATCGAACCCTGGATCAGGCTCCACGCTCGATGTGGAGCCTGCTTAAGATTCTCTCTCCCTCTCCCTCCGCCCCACCCTGCCTACTCACGTGTATATGTGTGCGCGTGCGCTTTTGCTCTCAAAAAAAAAAAAGTTAAGATGGTAAATTTTATGCTATGCGTATTTTAACACAATAAAAAGAAAAAAAGAATCCAAACAGAATTTTCCATGGAACTTGCTGATTCTAAAATGTCCATGGACAAAGCATAGCTAAAGGACTGCTAAAGAATAAAGAGAATTTGCTCGACCAGGTAGTGGACTTCCTGTGAAGCTGCAGTGCTGAAGGCTGTATGACATTGGCATTGAGACAGACAAGCTAACCAAAGAACAGCACCCAATGCACAAATGCACACATGGCAGATTTATCGAGGAAGCAGAGGCTTCAATAAGAAGGAACTAGAGAAAATGACTCACATGGAAAAAAAAATGAAACTGGATTCCCAAAAACCAGCCACAGATGAACTAAGGACTTAAATATGCAAAAAGCAAAATTTTAACTGTTTTAGTGGAAACAGAGGGAGCTGTTCTGACCTTGAGTGAAGCGTTTCCTTTAAAAGATGTAAAAAGCACTGACCATAAAGGACAAAACTGATCCACTGAAGAACTGCGATTGATCAAAAGAATTATTATACAAAATGTTGCTTATTTTTTCAAACTGGGAAGAGACATTTGCAACATAAGTAAATAACTTTTACCAAACCAATATGAAAGAACAATTACAACAGAAAGAAGAGAAACAGGGGCAGAAGACAGGAGGTGGTATTACAATGGAAAAGAAAGATATTTGGGGCTGATAAACACGATGAGAGATGCTTGACCTCCTTCTTAAACAGGGAAATACAAATTAAGACCAAATAAAATACCATTTCATCCTCATTCAATTGGCAAAAATCCAGAATAAGAATACCGAGCGCTGAGGAGGACGTGGGTCAGAGGAAGCTGGAACAAACGCTCTGTAAGATAACGCCAAATTGTTTTCCAAAGTTAAACATTCACCCATTCTACCAGGCAACAATCCCACTCCTACAGGAAGTGCACTCCAGGACACACGAACGAGAATAAAAAATGTTCTAAACAGTGCTACTTGACACGTCAAAACTCTGGAAACAGCCCAAATGCTCCCTAGCAGGATAAAGGGTGCTATCTTCACACAGTGGAATGGCAGAGAAAAGGAATGAATTGCAACTCAGGAGGACGTGTACAAAGTCCGGTTGCATGGAAAGAGGAAGCCCTGAAAGATACACGGCACGGTCCTCATCAAGTTCAAAAACGCTTCTCTCATTTTTTGAAAATGAGATAAGGAATGATAAATACAAAAATCCCAAACTGTCACAGTCCGACATGACAGCCGTTGGCTGTGTGTGGCAATTTCAATTAATTAAGATGTAATGAAGTTACATCGATTCAGTTACGATTCAGTTCCTCCGTCACACCAGCCAAGTGCCCAAGGCTGCGTGTGAGCCCTGGCGACCGTGTCACACAGCACGGATGGTGAAGAGTGCCACCAGCCAGAAGGGTTCTGGTGGGCAGTCCTGCTCTAGACAGCTCTGCTGAAAAAGAAGGGGTAGAGGAACTCGTGCACACACACAAGCCAGGGTTGGGGGTGGGGGTGTGGGAAGCGCTGGGGAGTCTGGGTTGGCCCAGGGGGATCACAGTAACGGCAAATGGGGAGCCAGAGCGGGCCGGGTGGTCTTCCCCTGGGGAGTTCTGCAGCACCAGGCCCGAGACGGACAGTGCTTCGGGCAGGGATCTGAAGTGATTGGGGACAGCAGGCTCTGACAAATCTGCAACCCTTTCGCTCTACACCCCTGGGTGGGGTCCCTCGCTACTCCCACCTGGGAGGGTGGGGACAAGTGTTGGTGAGCATCCCAGCTCTGAGTGCTATTCTCTCCCCTCCCCTCAGCCCTGTTTCCCCACTAACACCCGCCCAGCCCTGCCCTTCAGGGCAGATTTGCTCTGAGGAAGTGCCTCTGAGCAAGACCAAAGTTGCTAGGCTGAGAGATGTCAAAGTGTCAGCAAGCACAGCGCCCCAGCAATCCACAACCTAACAGCTGTCTTCTTTTGCAGCCCTGGGGGGAAGGGGGGGCTGTCTTTCCCAGTCAACCGGCACTCTGGGGAGTGGGAGGTAAATCCTCCTTAGCAGGTCACTGCAGTGGGGGCCTTGTCCCACCTAACATCTGTGTGCTGATCAACCCTTATTGGTCAGCCAGTTCCCATGACCAATGGGCCATCACAGCAGGAAAGGCCCTTGAAGTGGCCAGTGCACAGATGAGGACACTGAGGCTCAGAGTGGGGAAGGAATCTGCACAAGCTCCCCTGGTTGGGCAGGGGCAGAGAGGGAACAGGGCTGCCAACTGTCCTGACTTCCATTCCTGCCACTATGCAGGTCAGCGGCTACTCTGGAAAGGCCCGTGTCCTCGTGTCTGTACTCAGTCATCCGTCTGCTCTCCCACAGGCCCTGGCATGGAACACAGGGGTTTAAGATGGAGCCCATGCCAGAGGGCAGATGTGGCCTGAATGACGGGGCTGGGCCTGGCAGTCAGCCGGGCTCAGCAGGTTCAGCTCTTTCCTGGAAGCCAGGCTGCTTTCAACTCTGAAGAGCCATCTGGGACAGGGGGTCAGCTCCCCTGGGTCAGCTCCTCCAGCACAGGAATGATGGCAGGATCCCAGGTCACGTGACCAGGGGCTGTCTGGGGCACCTCCTCTGGGCTTCCATGGCACCTGGGGTCCCCTTGCTCAGTCCTTACCAGAGAGCTGGCTCCGGCGGCTGCCTCCAGCAATGGGCTGTGGATCCTCCCTGGCAGGGCCTGCAGCTCAGTCACCTTTGTGCACACAGTATCAGGCATATAAGAAGCCTCCAGAGAACATTCACTGAACTAGCGAATGAAGCAGAGAACGGAGGCCTGGAAGATCCCACCCAGAGCAGCAGGGGTGGGAGCTCAGAACCAACACAGAGTCTTATTTTCCTCTGATTTCATCATCTATAACTATAGAAGCTAAGGTCTCTCTCTGCCTGTCCTTGGGGAGTAGAAGCAAGGCACGGCACGAGGCCCTCTGGGGTGACCCCTTACAGAACACTTTGCCATGTGCTGGGCGTTTCCTGCTCATTTCCTGCCCAGGTCAACTTCATCTCTGCCTGGAGGCTTAGAATGGATTTTAAAAGTTATGCAGGGGCACCTGGGTGGCTGTCAGTTAAGCGTCTACCTTCGGCTCAGGTCCTGATCTCAGGGTCCTGGGATTAAGCCCCCTGTAGGCTCCTGAGCAGGGAGCCTGCTTCTTCCCCTCCCTCTGCCACTCCTGCCTCCGCCCCCACTTGTGCTCATGCTTTCTCTTTCTCTCAAATAAATAAATAAATAAATAAATATCCTAAAAAAAAAAAAGAAAGAAAAAAAAAGAACCCAGCCGAGGGTCACATGTGGCTTGTGGTTGTTATGTCTCTTTAGTCACTCTCTCCCTCTCTCTCCCTCTGTCTCTCATGAATAAATAAAAAAATTATCCTAAAAAAAAAAAAAAAAAAAGTTGCCCAAAGGTATGCTGCTAGTAAGAGGCACAGCCAACATTCACATACAGGAATGTCCTACTTCAGAGATCGCATTTCAAACCAGTAAGTATCAGTGAGCACCAGCTCCCTGTCAGGCATGTGCCCACATGATGGGAACATAGCTGGGAACCAAAGCTGCCCCAGCTCGGAGAGCTTTCATGCCAGTTAATGGAAGAGACAGTACAAAGGAAACATAAACATACAACCAAGTAACGTATCCGTGGATGAGACAAATGCTATGAATAAAAAATAAGGTAGAACAAGGGGATAGAGTAGGGATTGCCACACTTTTTCTGAAAAGGCCAGGTAGTAACTATTTTTGGATTTGCTGGCCACATGGTCTTTGTGGCCAGCACTATTCAGCTCTGAAAAAGCAGCTCTGGGAAATATGTAAATCAGCAGGTGCAGCTATGTTCCAATAAAACTTTATTAACAAACAGTGAATTTCTGATTTCATATAATTTTCATGTGTCACAAAATGCTATTTTTTGATTTTTTTTTTTTTAACCATTTAGCAATATAAAAACCATTCTTAGCCTGCAGGCCATACAGAAACAGCTGATGGCCCAGATTAGGCCTGTGGGCTCTAGCTTGCCAACTTCTGGGACAGAGAGTGGCTGGGGTGTGGACATGGGGATGTACTTTGGAGAGAGTGGTCAAGGAGCCGTCCCCAGGGAGAGGACATGTGTGCAGAGACCCGAACGAGGCAGGCAGTGTGCCCTGTGGTCCTGGCTAGAAGAGCGAGTCCAAAGGCCTGGTGGTGTGCATGGAGGGGCGGGACGGAGGCAGAGGGGCAGGCAAAAGGTCTCAGAAGCCAGCAAAAGCCAAACCACATGGGCCTCAAGGCCCTGGTGAGGACTTTAGTCTAAATGTGACAGCAAGCCACTGGGCTCTGGCGCTTACCAGCTTTGCGACCTTGAGCAAGTTACTGAATTGTGCCTCATTTCCTAACAAGATGGGGATAACAACAGTAGCCGTCTCAGAAGGTGGTAGGGCCAAGTAAGCATTAGGTTCTGAACGGATGTCAGCTGCCGATATGAATACCAAAGCCCAGCTGGATGCGGCAGGAGTTGGGAGAAGTGGCCGCAGCTTTCAAACTTACCCACAATGTCCACCACGTCCGGCCGGATGAGCGGCTCTCCCCCCGTAAGCCGGATCTTGTCTATACCTTCCTTCACAAAGAGCCGTGCAAGGGTCAGGATCTCCTCTGTGGTGAGCAGGTCGGCCTTGGGGGTCAGTGGGATGCCCTCCTCGGGCATGCAGTACTGACCTGAGGAAGGGAGGGGACGCGGAGGAAGGCTGTGACCACAACACTGCGGCCCATGGTGCCTTGAGACCCCCACTCCCCCACCAGGCCAGAAGTCTCTCCTGATCCCCACCTGAATGGTGAGGAACGAGCTCGCCAAATCTGAGCTGGTACAAACACTACAGATTCTCTCCGGGCCTCACCTTTCTCATCTATGGCATGTTAACACTGCCTCTTCCCTCAGAGGGGAGACTGAGAGAACAGGTTAAAGAGGATGAAGCAGGCCGAGAGCAGAGCCCGGCCTGACGTGAGGGACGCCAAGGCTGATTCCCTCAGCATGGGGGGTGGCTGGGCAGGGTCTGCCTGGCAGGCCTGGGCCCTAGGCCCATTCCTTCCGGCGCTGGTCACCCCTTTCATTCCATTTGCTGTGGCAAACAGTGACCCCTGTGTGCTTGGGTCATGAGGCCTATGAAAAGTCACCCTCGTCTGTAGTGACAAGTGCTCTCACGTCCTGCCTATTTCAGGTTACCAGTCCCATTTCACAGGTTGGAAAACTGAGGGACTACTTGTTCAGGGGTAGGTAGCAGAATGGGGCAAATGCAGGGAGCCCTGGAGGGCCGGGGGCACCATCCCCTCGCATTAGCTCCTGTGGGAGTTTTATCAAGGACTGGGTCGAGATCTAGTATAGGGTCATTTAGTCAAATTAGTGAAGGGTCCAGAATTGGTCTTTTAAGATAGAATAGGTAAAGAACATCAGAACCGCACGCAGTGAGTATTGTTTGGTTAAACGTTTACTACATACACACATGTATTTATTGGGCCATGAAGTAAATACATTTCTTATTGGGAGCAACCATGGAAAGCAGGAGAGAGGGAGAGAGACAAATTTTGGAAGTCCCTCCGGCAGCAGCCACACCTCCGGAGCACTCCGTAAATGATTATGAAATGAATACTCTATGTGTCAGCCTGGCCCCAAGCAACTTCTGTCACAGGCCTGGGGCGTCTTAGTGGCTGGCAGTGCCGGCCACGGGTACTGCTGTGTATCTCACGTGCTTGTGGCGTCCAGCACCCCCACGCCTGCCCCTGCCCACGTCCTGAATGCTGGGAACCGTGCGAAATAGGAGGGAGGGAGGAAGAGCCCTGCAGACTGAGATTTAGGTCCAATCTCCATTGCAATTCTGTTCTCAAATCTAGTTCCAAGTAGAGCTCAGCTCCCAGGATCCTAAAACTCAACCTTGACCCTTATCTTGCCCCACAACCTCACCTGGCAAGCAGGGAAGAAGGGTGGGAGGAGATGCTGGGATGAGGAATGCAGAGGGTTGCAGAGGCTTCAGAAGCTGCCTCAGCAGGGGGGCAGGGGCCCAGGAAGGGGACTCACATCTGAGGTTGCACTTCTCGGTGAGCGAGATCCGCAGGTAGCTGTGTTGCCGCCCGAAGCTGTCGGTGAGGAAGGCGGAGAAGGGGGCCGTGTGCTCCCGCAGGAACTGTCTCTGCCTGGACAGCTCCTGAAATGCCGGGCAGAGGTGGCGTGGGCCTCTGGGCCCTGGCTGGGGGAGAGGGGCGTGGAGAGCCCACCACCTCCGGGACATAAGCCCCCCTCCCATCGGGCATCCCCTCCCCCACCCCCATCCCTGCAGTTCTGGGGGGGCTGGGATTCTCCCTCTCACTCACAGACTGGGAAACAGGCCTGCAGATTAGGACCTGTCCCCAAGGCCCCAACTCAGCCCCAGGGAGCAGGACCTCTATAGGGAGACAGCTGCCCCACCCCTGGCCCCTTTTCTCTCCCTGTCACCAGCTTACCACCCACCCCCCTCCTTCAAAAGAAGCCTGTCCAGGAACAAAGATCTCCAGTATTTCTGGGACGGGTCAGTGGGAGAGAACGTGCCACTCGGCATCTGGCAACTATGCCAAATGGCAAGTAAGTGTGTCCAGAAAGGGGGAGAGAGGGAACGGATAACTGAGCAGGATGGTGGCTGCCTGGGACACGGTGAGCCATGTCTCCAACCCAGACCTCCCATTGGGAAGGGAGGGAATGGGAGACAGAAGGAACTCAATGCCAACTCACTAACTCTGGGGGGTGAGTGTCACACAAGTGCCTCCTCATAGCTACCCCCTGTCAGCTGGGCTCCCTGGGGCCTCAGCACTGCCCCGGAGGACCCAACAAGCCATCGGAGTGGCTGAGGACGACACCCAGCTGGGGAAGGGAGGGTACACTCACGGGGAGTGAGTGAGTGCCCTTCCTACTTTTCTCCCTCAAGCAGAAGGCTTTTGGGGCAAGGACAGAACAACCAGGGAGGCCTGCAGAAGGAAGGAGGCCACCAGCCTCTAGGAAGGCAGAGGGGAGGGGCCAGGATGATCACCCACTAACCCCCTGCAGAGATGACTCTAGTCTTCATCCTTCACCCCACCTGTTGCTGGAAGGATTAAGCACCCACTGTCTGGGGCCTCAGAGGGAGGAGACTGCTGGAGCCTCCCTGCATGGCTCACCCAAACTCCTCCTGGGGAGAGAAAGGAGGCGGCCAATTTCAGCGTTTCCCCAAGTCTGATCTAGTCTGATCTCCTGCCTTGAGTGCACAACCCTCAGTCAAACGGATACTGATGAGATAATTGCTCCATAGAAGCAACATTTACAAAACATCTTCAAGTTTCCAAAGAATGTTCTCTGTTCAATTCCCACACCTGTCCCATAAGGGATTACTGAAGTGAAGCTTGGATGGGGTTCAAGAATACCACTGGCAGAACCAGGATTCAAATCCAGGTCTTCTGAGTCCAAAGTCTAAATTCTTATTGCAAAGGGAGAATCCAAGAAGGTACATGGGGTGGTGCACAAGGTGGGGGAGAAGTCCTTCCTTTAGAATCTTTATAACAAAGAAATCACGAGGTCGATCATGAGGTCATTCATGAGGTCTCTGGACAGGGCTCTGGACTGATTTCTGGGCCAGGTGTGACCTGACATCCTGAGAAAGCTCTGTGACTTCTCCAGACCATTTACCCCGTTGTAAAATAAGAACAGAGCTAAGCACTCGGCTAAGCCAAGGGAAGGGGGTCAGGAAACTGGCAAGTAAACACCTAGGATTATCATGATCTTGTAACCTAAGAGAGCAGAAGGCTTCAGGCCCCCCGGAGGCTCAGGGTAACTGTTTGCCTGCACCCAGCAGGAACATTTCCTTCAGTGACTTCCTCAGCCCCGGCTGCATGTCAGAACCACCTGACAGCTTAAGAAAAAACTTCCACTGGAGAGCAACTGAATTTGGATATCTGAGCACACACGTTTTTAGTCTGTCTAGGTGATTCTAAAGTACAGCCAGGGTCAAGGGCCACTGACTCAGGAGACAGAAGGGATAGGAGTGAACGTATGTGGGGGTGCTTCCAGGATTTTCCTGGGTGCATAAAAGTGACCTCACTCTGCTCACCCCAACACCAGTGTCCCATCCTCCAAGAACCCCTGCTTACAGTCCCATGACAAGCAAGCAGCGGTCCCTTCTCTGAACTGCTGTCTGCTACAATCCTAACAGCGCTTCCTACCTCCCTACTCACCCCACTGCCTTTCCACCTGTAGCCCTGGGGGGGGAGGGGGGACACGACAGAGTCAAGAGCCCCATTGGCCACCACAGTCCAAGAGATCAGATACCTGGAAGTCTGAATTTCCAGCACAGCTGCACCCAGTCCTTCATCAACAGCTCTTTGCAACTTAGGAATCTGTCAGTCACCCCAGACCCTCACCAGCCGCCCTCACCCTATTCTTAACATATTGGAGGTTGTTGGCTGGGTGAGGGAGGAGTCAAAGTGCACCAACTGGGAGCAAGTGAGAGGACCAAGGAGCATGACTCAGCAGAAACCAGGGAGCAAGCGGAGTAACCAGCAAAGAAGAACATAATCAGACGCTCTGTTGTGGCCCTGGTTGGGGGGGGCGGGGGGGGCAGGCTGGATTTCACTTCTGAGACTTAGAGTGACTTTATCCAGATTCATCCAGACTCTGTACTGGCAGAACCACACACACGCACACACAGTCTCTCACCTGGCCAGCCTTGTAAGCTCATCACTGTGATGTTAACAAGCCTCATCCCTGCCTCTTCTCTCCTCCACCACTGCATGTCCTACTTTCGTTCTTCCATCTTTCCCTTTCCTTTAAAAAACCCCCTGGAGGAAAAAATAGCAGCAGTCAGAGGAGCCCTGGACCCAGAGGGCATGACCGTGTAGGGTGGACAGTGATGCCTCTCACCCAAGAAGGCCTGGGACATGTCAGAAGCAGCTCATAGCCTCAGAGCCCCTCCTGGACAAGGCTGCTGCCCGCCCCCCACTTGTGCGGGAAGCCCACTCCCTGATTCGGAATCCTGGCATTTACATGGTATGTCACTGTCTCAATGAACTAAATAGACTGGTCCTTGATTGGAAGAGAAAGGTAATGTGTGCAAAACCAGTCATACTGGGGTCACTCATTTCCGGACTGGTCTCTACTGTCAAAATGGCTTTGCCTAGGAGAGTGGCTCTCAACAGTTTGCACATCAAAACCACCAGCAGTGCTTCTAAGAAGTGCTGAGGCCTGAGAGCCCCACTCCAAAGATTCGGACTCCAAGATGGGGCCCTGGCTTTTTGTTTGTTTGTTTGTTTTCAATGTCTCAGCTCTTTACTCTGCAGCTTGGCTGAGGACCACTGGCCCCGAGATACCAGGATCAGGAGCTATTTTAATCCAGGGCTAGTTGTTGTGGTTCAGAGCACAGACTCCGGGAGTTGGTAAACCTAACTGCAAGCCCGGCTTTACTACTAACTAGCTGTAGAGCAAATCACCCAAATTATTGAAGCCTTAGTTTCCTCATCCATAAAAGGTGGAAAATAATTCTCCCTGACTCAGTTGGAGGAGTTCCTAGGACACAGCAGGTATTCAATAAGTGATCGCTGCTGTTTTAATAGAATTCCTACTTACATATATTGGTTTATTAAACACAGATTCATGGAGGAGTTCTAGTTTGTGTGCTGTGACCAGTTTTCCCGCTCTTGCCAGCTCCCCTAGTCAGTCCTGCAAGGCCCAACTGTACTTCATGGCAGATGGGCCAAGGCTGGGGTTTCGACCTGCTGTCACACCCCCCAAAGCAGGGAAAGTGGAGTTGGAGCTCCTCCAGGACCATGGATGACCAGGCAGGAGGCGGCCTACCATCTGCTACCAGGTGTATCTTGTCTACCTGCCCAGTGAGGACTGGGGCACGGGGTGGGGGTGGGGAAGGGTGGTGCAAAGGACACAAAGGACTTAGTTAAGGGAGGGATGCTGCCCTCCAAGTAGCCACCAACTCTGGGCATTTGGTTTGAATGACAAAGGCCAGCCCCCAAATAGCTCTAGAGTATAATAAATAGGGTTATTCAGGAGAAAAAGAACACATTCCAAACTCAGATATCAGTGGCTCTGATTTGGGATCCTTGCTATTTGGGAGGACGTGTACCAGGGGTGACTCAAAATTAATCTATGTTAAACAAGAAGACCCAGCAAGGCACCTAGCCCCCAGTCTGGATCCCCCCCTAAGCGTGGGGTCTTTACACCTATGGCTCCTGGCATGAACAGTCACACTTCACCGAAGAAAAGCTTCTGAAGGAAAGACTGGAACTCAAGATAACGCCCGGAAAGTTGTTCTTTCCCTTCGTGTGTCACTGTCCCAGGCCAGGCCTACCGTCCCCTCCTACCTTCTCCTACATCCACTTCCTTTCTGCATAACACCCCCTCTCCAACATTTGTTCATTGTGACCCTCTGAATACTGGGTGCCTCTGCCCTGCAAAAAGTCACCCTCTCCCCTGACCCTGCCCCAAGGCAGCAGGCCCAGGACCTGAGGCAAGCCCCCTGTGGTCCCAGCAAAGCCTGCATGGAGCCTGGGAAGAAGGAAGAGGGGTGCCATGCTTCTGTGCTGGGGTAAGCCCTGCAGAGGTTATGTGGACCACCCCAATCAGGACAGCAGGTAGCTGTGTCTCCCCTACCCACCTCCCCACTTAACCCACACCCTACCACCTCCCCTTTCCACCTGTAGAAGCCGCTCAACCTGTCCTCTGACCAAGCCCAAGGCCCACTTTCCACTGTCCTCACAGCCGGCTCCCATTTCACACCTCATGCACTCCCACGCCCACACCCTGACACAGGAACAGATAACAGTGGCTTTTCCCTCTGTCTCTGCAAGCACTTCCCAGGGTGGAGGGAAAGGTGCCCTGCGGAAAGAGAGGCGGGGACAGGGATTCCCAATGCCCCACTCCTGCTCTTGCCAACTGGCAAGTTCGGTAATAGGCTGACCATAGAGATCTCCAGGCTTGCCTCACCTCAGGAGATTTTCTTAAAGACATTCTGTGCCCTCCCCCACGGCGTAAAGATGGGCTGGGCCAACCCTCTGGCTGGAAAGAGGGAAAGTGACAGTCCTAGGAGCCAAGTGAAATTGGAGACAGAGCGAAGGTGAAAACCTGGGCTCCCTGTCCAGTGCTCTACTATTCCACGTGGCCCCCTCACTCGTTTGAGTTTCAAACAGCCAAAACTATCTGCTGACTCCACTGCCTGCAGAGCACCATGTTCAGCCCCGTGCAGAAATACCTAGAAAGGTGGGGAAGCACCCAACACTTGAGGAGCAAACTGCCTGCTGAGGATAACCCTGGCAGGGAATGTCCAGCATAGGAGGTCTAGGACCAAAGAGTTGACAGAATGGCTATCCTGAGTGTCCAGTGGGAGGGGACTAGCGGGACACAGCATGTGTCAATTGTGGTGAGGCTGACAATAACTACAACAAATATGTACATAACACAGCACCTACGTGGGTCAAGCTTTGATCTAAGTACATACATCAACATATACTAACTCAATCTCTAGAACCACTCTATGAAGTAGACACTTATTCCCATTTTACAGATGAGAAGACTGAGGCCCTGGGAGGTGAAACATACCTACTCAGGGGTAGGCCTGGGCTTCCCATGCCAGCATTCTGCTCCAGAGTCTGTGTTCTTACCTGCTAGTTACACCTCCCCTTACAGGGTAAAGGAAAGGGAGGGATAGCCTCTCATTCTACTCTCCCTGTAAGGAAGAAGCGGGAGCACCGGGGCTAGAGTTTGAGTTCCTCCCGCTCCCTTATTTTCAGCTCTGTGACTCCAGGAAAGTTAACTTTGGTGAGCCCCATCACCTGAAAATACAAACTCTTGACCTCACGTGGTTTACTGTGAGACTAAGTATGGGAACACCTGGGTGGCTCAGTCGGTTAAGCGGCTGCCTTTAGCTCAGGTCATGATCCCAGGGTCCTGAGATGGAGTCCCGCATTGGTCTCCTTGCTCAGCAGGGAGCCTGCTTCTCCTTCTGCCTGACGCTCCCCCTGCTTGTGCTCTCTCTCTCTCTGACAAATAAATAAAATCTTTAAAAAAGAGAGAGAGAAAGAGAGATCTGTCACTTGGCCCAGATCCTTCCTGAAGAGCACAAAGGAAATTAGGGGCAGGAGAAGAAAAAACTTCCCTTTTCCTGAATTCTTTAAGGCTCTCTCAGCAATTCTTGTGTTCCTACTTTTCCCCTCAATGAAGTTCGCAGTTCAAGGAAACTGAAAACCTTTACTTCCCAGCAATGAGGCCTGATTACTGAAGATCCAGGGGAGATCAGACTCAGGGAAAGCAAGTTAGGCCAAGGCCCTCCCCCTCGTTGAGCAATAGTGGCGGTGGGGGTGGGGAAGAGATCTGATGATTTCCAGGGCGTGAGGTCTTGTGCTAAAAAATGGGAAAAGAATGACCGGGTGGGTCTGGAAAAAAGGTTTTACCAAATGAAAAAGAGATGCTTCTCCCAAAATTATTCCCTGACCACATGGGCAAAAGAACACTAAACTTAAAACTTGTTATGACATAAATCACTCTGTGGGGCACTGTCAAGGACTGAAGGGGCCTATCCCAAACCTTAAGGAAAACTGGGATTCCTAATCCGGACAGGGATCCTGCTCCCTTCTGCTCAAGAATGAGGCTGAGCCCTCCTAAGGACATGAAGATGAAACTGAAAGAGTGAAGGGCAAGTCACAGAGCCCTGTAACTACAGACGTGACCAGTGACTACTGTGGCACCAAGGTGACATTTTTAACCGGTGTCACACTATGAAGCAGGGTGTCACAAGAACACCTGGTCACACACTGACAACCTTTCAATGTTCAGGAAACAGGGTGGGTGCCGCAGGGCTGAGAAGGGTACAATTAACAATTCACCGGACCCAGAGTCCTACCTGCCTGCTTCCCCATGTCTGGCGGTCACTCAGACCTGGAAGGGGGTTGCAGGTCTGAGGTGGGCAGGGAGGTGGTTAAGCAGCACCCCAAGAAGCGCCCGTCCCTTGGGGTATCAGGTAAGACTGGGCAGCTTACAGAGCATCCCTCCACTCCTTTCCCCACCCCCAAGGAAGCCCTGAGGGATCCCTTCCAGAAGCGGCCCGCGCAGCCCGGCCTGGGTGCTTCTCGGCGTCAGGGACTGCTGGCCTGCAGCCCCTTCCCGAGGAAGGTGTGGTTGTGGGCGGGCTCACCTCCGCAGCAGTTTGGGAGGGCTCCCCGGGGCGGTGCTGCGTCACTGGAGCCCCAGAGCTGCAGCTCCGGACGCTGGACCTCAGCACCCGCTGCAGCATCCGAGACACCAGCCTCACCGCCATGAAGCCTGCTGGCCGGGCGAGATTCCACTCGGTAGCGGGCTTCGGAAGCGCGCTGGCCCTGGGCTCGCCGCCCTGGGACCTCGCGGTAGTGGCGGGGCGGGGCCCGCGCAGCCAATCTGGCGAGGGCGCCGCGCCGCGCGGCCTTCTGGAAGTTGTAGTCCGCTCCTTCTGCTTCGGATCCAGTATGCCTTCTAGGGCTTGGGGAGCACTAGTTCAAAGTCCGCTGAAGATCCTGGGTCTTTTTGACAGGCTTCTCTGCCTGCCTTAGTCCAGGACCTAGAGCGTGGTGTGACTAGCACAAAGTGCTGTAGGCAGGGCAGGATTAGAGCCGGGTGAATGAAGCATTGCCTTGGGCACAAAATTGAAATGCGTGCCAAAAAAATAGGTTATCAAGATAAATAATACTTAATGTAGTATTTTTAAAAGTCAGAACCAATGCAAAAAAAAAAATCCATGATGAACAAAATAGCAATATTTTATATAAAAACAAGATCCGGCCCTGCATGTTTATGACTTCTCTCACTCCCTTGGAAGTAGTCTAGGCCCTGGTTGAAGGTGGGTCAGCTCCCTCTTTACAGGTACACTTTTCCAATTGTGCCCCAAAAGGACATTAACACACTTACCCTCTCTGCTTAAAGAAAAAAAAGGAGTATATGGGAAGAAGTCATAGAATAAGTGGATATCATTTTTGGAACACTTCCTACACGCCAAGCACCATGCCAGGCAATGTTCAATACTTGCAATTAATAGAATGTGAATTTTGCAACTGAGGAAATAGAGTCTTAGAGAGGTTAATTTTCTCGAAGGCATACAGTTGATAGGGGGCAAAACTGGGGTTTAAATCTAGGACAATCTCATTCTTAAATTCAAGATTCAGTGTGTATCAGGAATGGAGAGGGGGTGGGGGGAATCTCTTTCTCCCCTTCAAAAAACAAAGAGTTACAGGCCTCTAAGATTTTGGATGGTAACACACTCAAGAATGAACTTATGGTACTAAGAATGATGATGTTCAAACTAGCCTATCTGGTGTATCCAAAACCCCAATGGCCATGGAATTACAAGAATTAAACATTGACTAGAACATTCTAGATGCCAAGTGTATATTAGAAAATGGGGGTCTTGGTCTCCTGGTCTGGAAGAATTGACAGTTTAATGGAGAGGAAAGCATAACTGTCACTGATTTGCACAAGTGCAGCGAGAGTGTCAAAAAAGCTGGGATAAAGGATAATTCTAGCTAGCCTCAGACTCAGGGTGAGTTTCTTATGTTATTCAGAGTTCAGACAATACATTGCAGGGCTAAGGATGTGTCTGGGTATGTCTGAAACTGATGGAAGAGACCTGACAAAAGAGTATTTGCAAACGGCCTAAGGCCCACTGAGGACTGTTCAAGCTCTGTCCACTGCTAAATTTGATGTGTAGATTTGTCAGGGGACCTGGGTGTGGGGGTGAGGATGATGCCTGAAGAGCTTCCAGGAGCAGATTCAATCTCAGGGAAGAAGCCATCTGACATAATGAACTTGATCTAGGAGCAAGTCTTTGGAATTTGGAGGAAGCAGAGATTCTGAGTCTATGTGTTGGTTCTTTTTTATTTTATTTTAATTCAATTAATTAACATATAGGGTATTATTAGTTTCAGAGGTAGAGTTCAGTGATTCATCACTTGCAGATAACACCCAGTGCTCATTCCATCACCTGCCCTCCTTAATGTCCATCACCCAGGTACCCCATCCCCCACCCCCTCCCCTCTAGCAACCCGCAGTTTGTTAACGTATAGTTAAGAGTCAGTTATGGCTTGTCTCCCTCTCTGATTTCATCTTATTTTATTTTTCCCTCCCTCCCCCTATGATCCTCTGTTTTGTTTCTTAAATTCCACATATGAGTGAAATCACATGATAATTGTCTTTCTCTGATTGACTTATTTCACTTAACATAATACCTTCTAATGCCATCCAAATCATTGCAAATGTAAGATTTCATTGTTTTGTTGGCTGAGTTATATTCTAGTGTGTGTGTGTGTGTGTGTGTGTGTGTGTATAACACCATATCTTCTTTATCCATTCATCTGTCGATACACGCCTGGGCTCTTTCCATAGTTTGGTTATTGTGGACATTGCAGCTATAAACGTTGGGGTGCAGGTGCCCATTCGGATCACTATGTTTGTACCTTTTGGATAAATACCTGGTAGTGCAAATGCTGGGTTGTGGGGTAGCTGTCTTTTTAATTTTTGATGAATCACCATACTGTTTTCCAGAGTGGCTGTACCAGCTTGCATTCCCACCAGCAGTGTAAGAGGGTTCCCCTTTCTCTGCATCCTTGCCAACATTTGTTGTTTCCTGACTTGTTAATTTTAGCCATACAGAATGGGAGAAGATATTTGCAAATGTCTTATCAGATAAGGGGTTAGTATCCAAAATCTATAAAGAACTTATCAAAGTCAACACCCAAAAAAACAAATAACCCAGTCAAGAAATGGGCAGAAGACATAAGCAGACATTTCTCCAAAGAAGACCTACAAATGGTCAACAGACCAATGAAAAAATGCTCAACATCACTTGGCATCAGGGAAATACATATCAAAACCACAATGAGATATGTGTTGGTTCTTAATCAGCTCTGTCCCCAGTTTTATTAATTTCTTTTAACTGTTTAACAAATTGCCATATGCTTGGTGGTTTAAAGCAAAATTTATTCTCTTACAATTCTAGATGTCAGACTCACTCCCTCTGGAAGCTCTAAGGGAGAATTTGCTTCCTTTGTCTTTTCCAGCACGTAGAGCTGCATTCCTTGGCTCATGGTCCCTTTCTTTATCTTCAAAACCAGCAGCATTGGGACGCCTGGGTGGCTCAGTTGGTTAAGCGTCTGCCTTCGGCTCAGGTCATGATCCCAGAGTCCTGGGATAGGGTCCCCATTAGGGCTCCTTGCTCAGCGGGGAGACTGCTTCTCCCTCTGCCTGCCATTCCCCCTGCTTGTGTGTGCTCTCTCTAACAAATAAATTAATAAAACCTTAAAAAAAAAAAAAAAACAGCCACATAGCATCCTCTCTGTGATTCTGCTTCCATCCCATGGCCTGTTTCTCTTCTATCTTAAATCTCCGTCTGCCTCCTTCTTATAAGGATATTTGTCATTGCGTGTAGAAACCACCCGGATGATCCAAACAAGTGTTTCACTGTGTGGACTCTTCTTAGGGCGGGGGGAGGGGGTCAGGGACAGAAAACAGGTGAATAAAGATAGGTGGTAGGATAGGGAGAGAAGTATTTACCAGTTGGCCAGAAACCAGATCACTATAGGTAATTAAACTGAAGGGTATAAAACCTTTTAAGTAAAAGCCCCTAAAGATGATCTTGTGCCCTTACCCAGTATCCCTACTCTTTGAGCCCATCTGAAATGCCACCAGTTGCATGAAACCTTTCTAGATTCTGCTTTCTTCCTCCAAATTGTGGGTGACTGTTTCTGCACTTGGGTCTTGTCACTTTTTGTTTAAAAGATTTTATTTATTTATTTGACACAGAGAGAGAGACAGCAAGAGAGGGAACACAAGCAGGGGGAGGGGCAGAGGGAGAAGCAGGCCTCCTGCGGAGCAGGGAGCCCCACTGGATCATGACCTGAGCTGAAGGCAGATGCTTAACGACTGAGCCACCCAGGCGCCCCAGGCCTTGTCACTTTTATTAGAACCTTGGAACGCCAGCACTGTGCAAGACCTCACAGCTTATTCAGTTTAGCTTGTAAACTGAAATCTTCTCTACATTATCGGAAGCAATCTACATGGATACTTCTAGTGTTGGAAACTTTCTGATTTCCTGACATTGCTTATTTCCCTTAAATGCCTCTTTGCCTATTAAAATTCTTGTATTGAGCAGAAATGTGCCTTTTTCTGTTAATACACAGTGATGAATGTCATCCAGGCCACACACACTACTCATGACTACGGCTAAGGAAATACCTCTAGAAGCTCACAGCCTGGAATATGGCTCTGATCTGGAGAGTCCATGGACGAATTTGGGAGGGAACTCTGAACTTCAGTGTATCATATTGTATATATGCATATTTTTCTGGGCAGAAGTGACTTTTATCACATGCTTAAAGAGACCCGTGATCTTTATAGATGGAAAACACATGTCTGGAAATCACCTTTCTGAGATATCTTCCTAGTGGCCGAATTTTTAGGCCCTGGGACTATGCATCTACACTCTCTTTCATCTGAGAGACTTAACACAAATTCTCTCCTCTTCAAGGTAAACAGCAACAGTTATTGCCAACCCTTGTGTAAAACATCATGTGAGTCATTGCGCCATTTTCGTCTGTCTTCCCTAATGCAATTTGGTTTGTCTCAGTGCTAGTGGCAGATCCTAGCTTTGAAAGATAGCTACAATATTTCCTGTCTCACTTGTTCTTCTAGAGCAGTGCTGTCCAATAGGAACTTTTGTAATGATGGAAACATTTTAAGTCCTTGTGTGGCTATTGAGCACTTGAAATGTGGCTAGTGGGACTGAAGAAATGAATTTCTAATTTTAGTTTTAATTAATTTAATTGTGAATAGCCATGTGTGGCTAATGGTCACTGTGTTGTACAGTATTGTTCTAGAACTTTGCTTTCCCTGTTAGGAAGTGGAATTAATTCTCCGCTTGCATCTGGGTGTATTTTTAATGGTCTTATAACCAATAGAATATGGTAGAAGTGATGCTGCATGACTTTTAAGGCTATGTTTGAAAAATAAGACACAGACACAACATCCACCTTACAACTTACCTCTAGTGATCCATTCTCTGTCTGGCTGGAGGATACTTCTTTCCTATCTCCCTACCCATTCTCTTCTCACCCGTCTTTCATCCCCTAGCCCCTGCAAAGAGATCCAGGACAAAACTTGGAAGCAACCAAGATGTCCTCAGGAGATGAAGGGATAAATAAACTGTGGTACATCCGGAGAATGGAATATAATTCAGCACTAAAAAGAAATGAATTATTGAGCCCTGAAAAGACATGGAAGAAACTTGAATGGGTATTATAAAGTGAAGAAAGCCAATCTGAAAAGGCTACATACTATGTGATTCCAACTACATGACTTTCT